CCGACCCATATCCCCCCCCCCCCCACACACCTGCGTTTGTAGGCTCCCCAGGTTGGTCCACATCCCCTCCCAGGAATGACCCCAGGGAGTCTGAGCTGCCCACAGGGGTAGTGGGTCTGGGGAATATGATCCCGCCTGGCACCTTCCTCAGGCTCATTCTCTGCTCTGCAGGCACCGTGGACAAACACTCAGTGGAAGTCACCAATTGCTTCTCTGTCCCACACAATGAGTCTGAAGATGAGGTGAGTGGTGGTCTGGGCCTCTGCTCCCTGAGCACTTGGTCACAGCGAGTTGGGTGACTAAATGGCATGATAGCACGTGAAGCACTTGGCAGTCTCCAGTGGAAGATGTGGACTCTTAGTGGGCTAGCTGCATGTGCCAGGACAAGTGCCTCATGCTACACTTAGCATGGCTTTCCTGCATTTCACCTGTTGTCTTTGGGATTCTGAAAGGCCTGGATCGGTCGGTGCCTGAGTTAGTGCATGTGACTCTAGAATTCACTGTGTCTTGTGTGACTAGAGCAATCAACATGTGTGGTATATTGGCAGGGGCTTTCTGTGAAATCCTCCCACATTATCCTAGCATACGGAGGCCAATGAAGCTCTAATTCTGCTTGTGGTGAGCTGGTAACTACTAAAGGAAGATTTTTCTGTAGTCCTGGTTGGCGATGATAACCTGTTTCACTGCTTGTTGTTTACTTGCTCCTGCAGCTCATTGCCTCATGCTGCTTTGTTCTGGTTCTCAGGTGGCTGTGGATATGGAGTTTGCCAAGAATATGTACGAGCTGCACAAGAAGGTTTCCCCTACTGAAATCATTTTGGGGTGGTAAGTCATATTCCCTGCTGCAAATGTATAACTGACCTGTGCTTAGCAGTTGTGTGGCCACATTATGCACCTTGAAATTGTGTACGCTGCATTGCTGCTTATTCAAAATTTACATTTTGTTGAAATGACTGCTATGGATATAGAATATAAATATCAAGAATGGGATACGTTGTTTAAAGGTAAAACTAGGTGTTGTGGGAAATGAATAAAAAATATATAGTTGGGCCATATCTTCTGATACTGGACTTTTCATCCAAGCATTGTTGGGAAATCAGGTGAAGTATTGTAGGGAACTGCACAGCATAGACTTCTTGAGAGTGGAATGTGGAGAACTATAGTTGGTTCCCTACAAACTGAGGCTTTGTGAACCAGTTTTCATTTGTTCCTGAATCACTGAACACTAGAACTGGAAGGCACCTCGAGAAGTCATTGAGTCCAGTCCCATGCCCTCATGACAGGGTGCAGTACCATCTAGACCAGTGGTGCACAACCCATGGGTTGCAACCTCCAAGGGGATCGTAGATGTCTTCCTAGGGGGTCGCCATAGTGGTGGATAAGCCCCAGCCTCCCGAATCTAAGTGCCGTGCTGCTCAAATTACCTTGGGGGTTGTGACATAAGTACAATGAAATATGGGGGTTGTGGTGCGCAACCTTTTTTTCAACCACTGGTCTAGACCATCCCTGATAGATGTCTATTGAACCTGCTCTTAAATATCTCCAGAGATGGAAATTCCACAACCAGCCTAGGCAATTTATTCCAGTGTTTAACCACCGTGACAGGAAGTTTTTCCTAATGTCCAGCCTAAGTGTCCCTTGCTACAGTTTAAGCCCATTGTTTCTTGTCCTATCCTCAGAGGCCTAAGAGAATAATTTTTCTCCCTCCTCCTTGTGACACCCTTTTAGATACCTGAAAACAGCTATCATGTCCCTTCTCAGTCTTCTCCTTTCCAAACTAAACAAGCCCAGTTCTTTCAGTCTTCCCTCATAGCTCATGTTTTCTAGACCTTTAATCATTATTGTTGCTCTTCTCTGGACCTTCTCCAATTTTTCCGGATATTTCTTGAAATGTGTTGCCCAGAACTGGACACAGTACTTCAATTGAGGCCTAATCAGTGCAGAGCAGAAGAATAACTACTTGTGTTTTGCTCACAACACTCCTGTTGATGTATTCCAGAATCACATTTTGGTGGGGTTTTTTTGCAACAGCGTCACACTGTTGACTCATATTTAGCTTGTGGTCCACTATGACCCCTAGATCCCTTTCCACAGTACTCCTTCCTAGACAGTCGCTTCCCATTCGGTATGTGTGAAACGGATTGGTCCTTCCTAAGTGGAGTACTTTGCATTTGTCCTTATTAAACTTCATCCTATTTACTTCAGACCGTTTCTCCAGTTTGTCCAGATCATTTTGAATTATGACCCTATCCTCCAAACCAGTTGCAACTCCTCCCAGCTTGGTGGTATCTGCAAACTTAATAAGCGTATTCTCTATCCCTATATCTAAACCATTGATGAAGATATTGAACAGAACTGGTCCCAAAAACAGACCCCTATGGCACCCCACTTGTTATGCCCTTCCAGCAGGATTATGAACCGTTAATAACTACACTCTGGAGTGTTGGATGCTCAGGATTCTCAGGTTCTTAAATTGTGTTTTTTCTCAGGTACGCTACTGGCCATGACATTACAGAGCACTCTGTCCTGATCCATGAGTATTATAGCCGGGAAGCACACAATCCAATCCATCTCACTGTGGACACCAGTCTCCAGAATGGACGCATGAGCATTAAAGCCTATCTCAGGTATTTTGGGGGTTACACTTTGGAAAGGATGATCTCCAGTGGGATTACCGAAAAGGGACAGACTAGGGTAGGGAGCTTAGTTAATTGTCCTATTTAAGGCAGTATTGTCCAATGTACAGAGCAGAGGCTATGAACTGGGTCTCCTGGTTCTGATCTCAGCTGTGTCTTTGATTGTGGAGCTGTGTTCAAGTGACTTAATCTCTGAACTTCCGTTTTCCCATTAGGATTAGTACTTGTCACACTTGGCAGAACTAATAATGTTTTGTGAATGGCTTGACTGCCGCAGATGAATGATTAGTAAGTGTCATTTCTGTAATTTCCTTTCAATTATCTGAATCCCTTGACTCCGCGCCCTCCCCCCCCCACCTTGAAAACTATATAAACTACAGGAAAAATGTAATCTGTAGGGCCCTACCAAATTCATAGTGCATTTTAAATCCCTCTGGCCATTAAATTGATCAAAATTAGTCAGTTTTATGTTTTCTGCTGTTAAATCTGAAATGTCATGGTGGTATAACTATGGGAGAGGGTCCCACACTTTTGAGTTGGGTCTGAAGTCCCTTCCCACCCTTAGCCTCTGTGCAAGGAAGGACAAATCTTGTCTTTCCCCAGCCCATCTGGAACTCACAACTAAGAGTTCCCTGGTTGGGGTTGTCCCAGGAGCAAGGGAATATCTGACAAGTTTCCTCCAGCTGCAGCAACAGCAAGGAGGCTCTCTGAGGCAGGTATAATCTCTCTTCGAGAATAACAGCAGCCATGCAGGGAAAGGACAAGTCCTCTCCATCTCCAGCCCAGCCAGGACTTGTTGCTAGGAGCCTCTTGTGTGGGGCATTCCTAGCAACCAAGGGGAAGCTTAAATTTCATGGAGATTGGCTTATTTCTGGTCCAGTACATGACACACTTTTCATAGTCATTAAATTGGTAGGGCCCTAGTAATAAGTTTTGAGTCCCAAGGAGAACCCCTGGGAAACCCTAGAATTTCTCTGGGCTTACAGCTGTGTAAGAGAACAATTACAGCTCTCCACAAGCATGAATGCTGTTCTTCGTAAGAATGAGTAACCAGCTTGGTCTCTTCTGTTTTAGTGCTAGGGGAGGCAAATAAGATGAAGGGTTATGTCTGCAGAGCATAGAAATGTAAGGCTGGAAGGACCTCAAATTCCTCTAGTCCATCCAGCACTGCAGCAGGACCACATACACCTAGATCTTCCAGTTATGAGGATTCCACAGCCTCCCTAAGAAGTCTATTCAAATACTTTGACTCCAATAACCAGACATTTTTCCTAATCCCTAACCTAACTCTCCCTTACTGCAGATTAAGAGCATTACTTCCTGTCCTACCTTCAGTGGACATGGAGAATGATCATAGCCCTCATGTATCTGAAGACTTATCGGGTTCACCCTCACCCCTACTTGTCTTTTCTAATTGTGCCCAATTTTTCTAATCTTTCATTGAATGTCAAAATTTTTAATCCAATCACTTTTGTTCTCCTGGATTCTCTTATTTAGCCACATCTTAAAGTGTAGAACCCCAAACTAGCCATAGTACTCCAGATGAGGCCTCACCATTGCAGGGTATGGCAGAACAGTCCCCTCCCATCTCTTATGTGCAACACTCCTGTTAATACAGCAGATAATTTTATTTTCACAACTATAACATGGTGGCTCATACTCAGTTTGTGATTTGTTATCCTTTTCTGCAGTACAGTCTAGCCAGTTAGTTTCTATTTTATATTTGTTTGACTTTTTTCTTCCTAAATGAAGTACTTTGCCTTTATCTTTATTGATTTTTGTATTTTGATTACTGTCCAGTTTTCAAGATCCTCTTGAATTTTAATTGTCTTCCAAAGTACTTGCAATGCCTCCCTACTTCATAAAATGTGATGTGCTTTATAAGCATTTCTCCACTTTTTATCCAAGGCATGAATGAAAATAGCATATGTAGTATTGGACCAGGACTGATCCCTATGGGACCCCACTAGATAAGCACTTCCATGTTGACAGTGAATCACTGATAATTACTCTTTGTATAATGACAGTTCTGTACCATTTAATAGTCATTTCATCTAGACCACATTTCACTACTGCTGTCCCCAATTCAGGAGATCGATAATCAGGTCAAAGAAGGAAGCAAAATTGGTTCTGCAGTACTTGTTCTTGACATGTTGATTGCCTATTACTTATGCTATGTTATGTAAATCTGGTCTTTTCTAGTGCTCCAATGGGGGTCCCTGGTAAGACCATGGGGGTGATGTTCACACCTCTGACAGTGAAGTATGTTTACTATGACACTGAGCGGATAGGAGGTAAGCTGGCTTGGTTTTCTTGTTGGTCCTAACCAGATAGTTGGGTGCTTGATTTGTGGGTCTGGGGATCACAGGGATATGACTCTCCACTGTGCATACCTGAGTGCTGCTTCAGAAGTCTTTGCCTTCGTTCCAGTGCCTCATCCTCTCTCATTTCCTTGCACCCCATAGTAGGGGAGTTCTTGTAGCTGTTGCATGCTAATGGAATGGTGCTGTCGGACAGGGTGCTGGGGATATGTGAAAGTCAAAATGGTCCAGCATTTTGGGGGCATAGTGGCACAGATGTAGGAATTGTGCAGTGGATGCAGAGCAATGAGCTGTGCCGTAAGATAGAAGCTTTTGAATGGATTAGAAAAGTAGTGTTTGGGAGGGTGAGGAAGAGAAACACCATGTCAAAACGTAGGCCACAAAACCACACTCAAAAGCAGCAAAGAGATTGTAGACAAAACTGGGGAGAGATGAAGGCAGAGATTAAATACACTGGGAGCTCTCACCCGCAGGCCACCAGCTGTCTTTTGTTCAGAAGCCTTCAGCTGTGATAAGGTACATGCCTAGTACTTGGCATGTTTCATGTGAGTTCTGTTTGTCAGAACTGACATGGGACAAGAAACTGATTTTTTGTTTTTTAAGGGATGCTGGCAATTAAATCTCACTCTGCATGTTTTTTCCCAATTAATTTTTTACTGGGAGCACCTGAGATTGTATATCAGAGTTAGAAAAAAGTCACAAAGTAATTCTCCAATTTGACAGCACTCTGTGTTGTCCAGAGGTCCCCAAACTAGAGGAATATTTGGAAGAAAGAGGAGCTGACTGAGGCCCAGGCCAGTTCCCATGGGAGCTGGGCACTCAGCTTCCAGCCCCCTTATCCTTGTTGGCATTGCTGTAGTCCTGCTTCCAGCTCTGGGAAATGGTCGGGAGTATGGGCAGGGTTAAGAGGGTTCAAGGTAAAATATTTGGGGACCATTGATGTCACGCTTTCAATTTGTGAGTCTCTTCCAGCAACCTGGCAGAGAGAAACACAAAACTGGAAAATATTATTGTAAAGCCACAGAAGAGGAGGGCTTGGGCATTGCTATTTTCTATTAGGATCTAGATTCAAATTAGTGTCCCTTAAATTACTCCTCCTAAAGTGAGATTGTATATATCATGAGGCCATCTTACTGGAAGTGAAATGAGCCCAGGAGATGTCGAAATAATTGGGACTTATCGGAGGATTTGAGTTGCACAGGGAGGCTGTAGCTGTAGTGGGTGCCAGGAAGGCAGTATTGTTGTTGCTTGGACCTGATTAAAAATGGTTGGAGTACATCACTCTTTCTCAGATCAAGTAGTAATCTGATGCTTCTCAGGATGGAGGCTGTGATGAAGTGGGGATTGTATTCACTGTTTGCTTGTTGTGTTGCCTGTGATTTCTACTGTTCTGTAGTAACGTACGAACGTGTTTGTGTGTGTGTCAGTTTCCCTGGGCATTGCACTGCTCTCTAGAAGGGGATGGGAATTCTGGGTTTGACTCATTGAGAGAGGATGCTGAGGCGAGGAGGTTCACAATGGCCCAGGCTCATGGTAACCTGAGCCTGGGAGAGGTGTGTGACCAAATGACACCTTTTGCCTGGTGAAGCTGTACAAAGCTGGAGGTGGGGTGTGATGGCGCGTTGGGGTATCCCTTCTCCTGCACCCCTGTAGTGGCACGAACAGACTCCACCAGCTAGTAGAATAGAGGGAGTTTATTGCTTCTCCAAGTTACAGCACAGATGCAATCTGGTTACAGGAACTGGGGCTAGGAGGCCTCAGGGTCCCTTTTCCCCCCCCCTTTGAGATGGGGGGTGGCTGGGTCCTGCAATCCCAGCCCCCTCCCTAGCCCCTTCTCCCCTGCTTCCCAGACTGAAACTAACTCTCTTCCAGCTCTGCCCCCAGCCAGGGGTTGGACCCCACCTTCTTCCCTTTGTGTTTCTCCCTGGGAGGCAACTCTTGGGACAGGTTGAGACCCTTGCCTAGTGACTCGTTCTCTGTCCTGCTGGGCCGTGCTACAAATAGCCACCAGGGGAGGTCACCCACAGCCCACTGCCCAAGCCTAGCAACCAGCCAGGTACCACTACCACACCCCACTGGGTTACAGAGCAGACAGTACCTGCCACTACGCCACATGGGGCAGCATGCAGGGCTGAGACCAGCTGCTGAGTGTGAATCTCTGTGAGTTTAGGATACAGGGAGGGGGCCCTGGGCCCTGGTTCTGGGGCCTTCTTTCCCCAAAATAGATTGTAATGGCCACTTCTGGTTCCAATGCTAACAAATCTGTTCTACGCTGTATCCCTGTGAACTAATGAACCTTCTGATCTACCTGCTGGCTGAGAGTCAATCTGGTGGCAGAAGAGATGTGGGCACAGTGACTCCCTACACCTCCATGACTGAGGCCAAAACTTTCAAGATTGGGTGCCTGCAGTTTCAGGTTTAGGCATTAAAATGGTCAGATACTGAACTTTATGTCAGTGGGACTTGTACATGTGTCCTCTGTTGTTCCCCCAAGTAAACCAGTCTGTCCCTGCGGAAATGCCAGTATTACATTGTTAATGAAGCATTGGACAAGCATTTCCTTTGTTGCTGCAGCAGGTGTCATCCTAGAAATCTCTGGGAAGTGGCTGGCAGTTGAACCTTGTGGCAGCCAGTTTCTCAGTCTCTCTCCTCTTGGGCACAGTTGATCTCATCATGAAAACCTGTTTGAGCCCCAGTCGAGTGATTGGCTTGTCCAGTGACTTGCAGCAAGTGGGGGCGGCGTCAGCCCGGATCCAGGATACCCTGAGCACAGTGCTGCAGTATGCAGAGGATGTGCTGGTAAGCCTAATGTCTGTGCTGATGTGGCCAAAAGGGCTTGTGTGATTCTGGGACGCATAAATAGGGATGAATGGAGTAGGAGCCACTGCTGTTGGAATACTGTGTCTAGTGCTGGTGCCTACCATTCAAGAAGGATGTTGATAAATTGGAGACTCTTTATTGAGGAGCCATAAGAATGATTAAAGGATTAGAGAGCTCGCCTTGTTGTGGTAGATTTAAGCAGCTCAGGTTATTTAGTTTAACAAAGGGAAAGTTAAGGACTGATTTGATTAATCGGTAAATACCTACATTGGAATGAACATTTAATGATGGGCTCTTAACTTTAGCAGAGAGCTGTAATAGTCACACAGCTGGAAGTTGAAGCTTGACAACTCTGATCATAAATAAGGCAGACATTTTTAACTGTGAGGAATCATTGGAACAGGTTACCAAGGGTCATGGTGGATTCTCCATTACAGACAATTTTTGTTTGTTGGATTGTTTATATAAAACATGACTGTTACATTTCAATTAATTGACTAATTGAATAATTGATAAGGGCGCCTCTGCTTTGAAGTGTAGCAACAGCCTTAGGGCTGTTGGTACACTTCAAAAGTGAAAGCACTGTGGGGAGCATGGGGTCAACTGAGGACTCCCCAGCTCCATGTGGTGCTGCCACTTTGAAATGCTGCGGGAGCCCAGTGTCAGGCTCCACGTGGTGTTTCAAGGCAGCGGTGCCACACGGAGCCCTGGGTCACTGGCGGAAGTCTCTAGCTGATCCTGGGCTCCAGATGGCACTGCCGCTTTGAAGTGCAACCTGGGGACTCCCCAGCTGGCTCTGGGCTCCACATGGTGCTGATGCTTTGAAGCGCCCCCTCCTCCTTCCCTTTTGCTGCCTCTTTCTGACAAACAGCAAGGAGGCGGGCAACACCTAGTTGACTAGTGTGTTGACTATCAAATAAACATTTGCTTATCGGATGGTCAACTACTCGACCAGTTGTTCATATCCCTAATATAAAAGCTGTGCTCTAGGAATTACTTGGGGGAATTTCTATAGCCTGTGTGTAACAGGTGGTCACAGTTGATAATAAAGAATGTATGGCTCTATTCCAATTCATACAGGGGAAGATGAGAGCTTTCTTTGTGTCTAAGCTCTTCCAGTTCGATGCAGCAAATTTGTTGTATCTTGGTCATTGTGAAATGTCTTTATTTTATGGTTAGTCAGGTAAAGTGGCTGCTGACAACACTGTTGGACGCTTCCTGATGGATCTTATTAATCAGGTGCCGAAGATTTCACCGGAAGATTTTGAGACAATGCTGAACAGCAATATCAACGTGAGTCCTGTTACTCCTGTATCCCGTGCTTAGTTTGCATAAAAATGACTGCCGTGTTTTGCCGACTTAGCAGTTTGTCTGCAAAAAGTGGCAGTTTAGAGGGAGATCTGTTTGATAGAAAGCCTTTTTCGACAGATCCATTATGCCTCCTGCAAGGGAGGGAACAAGGCAGTTACTGAATAATCCATCCCCTGTCATCCAGCAGTTGGAAGTTTATGGATACCCAGAGCATGGGGTCACATTGTTGGCCATTTTGGCTATTAGTAGAGCTGATTCCTTATTGAACCTGTTAATACTTTTGACCTTCATGACATCCCCTGGCAGTGAGTTCCACGGACTCTTGAATCTTTCCATTTATGGAAGATCTTCCATACCCTAATCATTTTTATTACTGTCCAGTTTCTGTACATTGTCCAGTTCTAATGTATCTTTTCTGAGATGGGATCACCAAAACTGCATGTAGCATTCAAGATATGGGCATACCCATCTTGTCCTGGGTGACCTATTACTGTTTCACTTCTTACTTTTTTCCAAAACCATCTCTATTGACACCTCCAGCTGGGACAGTTCATCTGATTTGTCCCTGAAAAAGAATGGCTTGTATAGCTATCTCCTTCAGCTCTTCTGCAGTGAAGACTGATGCAAAGAATTAATTTAGTTTCTCTGTAATGGTCTTCCTCTTCCTTGATTGAGGGGCTAAAAGATCATTTTTCCCAGACCACCACAGATTTTGACAGAATTCCTTTTTCTTATTCACTTGCAATTTTTTTCTCTTTTGCTAGTTGCTCTTCAAATTCTTGCCATACTATCCTTTTTACACACGATTTGCCAGAGTTTGTTCCTTATGTTCCTCGGTAGGATTTGATATCCATTTTTAAAGAATGCCTTTTTGTCACGAACAACCTATCTTGCTTTCTTGTTAAGCCATTTTGAATTTTGGGTATACATTTAGTTTGAGCATCTGTTAATAGTCTTAAATAAGTGTCTCTGCAGCTTGACGGCATTTCAGTCGAATGACTGTTCCTTTTAATTTCTCTAACTAGCTTTTTCATTTTTGCATGGTTTCTTTTATTTTGAGGTTAAATGCTACTGTGTGGGTTTCTTTGGAATTTTCCCTCCTTCAGGGATGTTGCATTTACTTCCATTATAGCTGCTATTGCTGAGAGGTTCAGCTCTGTTCACCTCTTGGACCAGATTCTGTGCTCCACTTAAGTGGATTCCAGTACTAGCTAATGCAAGAAGCAGTCATTAATGGAGTCTAGAAATTTTATCTCTGCATCCCATCTTGAGGTGACATGTATCCAATTAATATATTGAGAGTTGAAATCCATTATTATTGGGTTTTCTGCCTTTATAGTGTGTCTACTCTCTCTGAACATTTCATAATCTACACCATCCTAGTCCGGTTATTGGTAGTGCACACCTGCTGCTATACTCTTTATTATCCAAGCATGGAATTTCTACCCATTGAGAGTTGAATTCCTGTCCACATCTTTCAAGAAAGATGTGGCCCTTTCCCAGTCTCCAGTAATCACATTCTTCATGGCTGAGGATCTGATGTGAACAAGGATTCTTAGTAACTTATCAGGCATTAGGCTGAAGGAATGCACCTGATAGCCCCCAAAAAAGGCAAACCCAGACTGGTGACTAGATAAACTCTTTTTAACTAGTAACAAAAATTGGAAATAGGATAGCCAAGCTACTTGGGAGAGATGAGGACTTCTTAAGGCAGCCTTTCAACAATTAAAGGAAAAGGACGCCTTCTTAAACTTGCTTGGATTTGTGTGCATAACTTGAAAGCTATTGCATTGTCTAGAGACATGAAATGTTTAGGACAAGAGTGTAAATAGCCTGCTCTTACTGTAGTCTGGATTTGAAAGATGACTGGCATCTGGGGTAAAAGGTGAGGTGCCTAATATTTTTGACCAGTAACCTTAGGCTTCAATTTTTTTTTCAAAGGACTTTGTGATGTGCGTGTTGCCCATGACAAACCTGGTATGAGCCTGCCAGCTCTAACAAGCTAAGCAGAGTGTATCCATGCCCTAAGCAATGGGATTGAGCCCTGATTCAGTTCCCAGCTCATCTTCCTGTGATAAATGGAGAAAGTCACAACCTCTGTTCTCAGTTTGCCCAGCTATAAATTAGAACCCTACTCTCAAGTGCACTGTTTGTAGAAGTGGCAAGTGTTATAAGCAGGATCCAACTAGTTTAGTAGTTGGATGAGACATCCAGGGATCAACTAGTTACAGCAGAAGGTGGTAGTTATTCAGTAGGAGCATATCCTCTGAGTTGGGTTTGATTCATTGACACCCCCCCCACACGCATGCTGCCTTGGGGAATGCATTGGCTGTGTTATACCCACGAAGGCCCTGATCACTTTCCCTAGGGATAGGGTTTTTGCCCCTCAGGTTCTAGCTAAAATCCAGTATTTGTAATTACTGTTTCCCTTCATTCTCCCTGCAGTTTTGATTGAGAGCTGCTACTCCAGTCAAACTTCATTTGCACTGAGACCCTCCTCTGATAACAAATTACTACACCTTGACAACTCCATTAAAATAGGGTCATGACCCACTTTCAGGTCCCAACCCACAGTTTGAGAATCCCTGGACTAGAGTGTTCACGTATTCTTTTGCAGTCCTGTGTAGTGGTGGTGTGTGCTATTAAGCAACTACTTCAGTTCATTGTTGGATAAAGGGAATCACTGCTGTGTAAGGTGGTCAGAGATTGCTAAGGGCACAAGTTGCTACTTCTCTGTCTGTGAAATGAGAATAATGCTTGCAATGCTCTGAGGGCTATAGATAAAAAGTACTCTGAGTGCTGAATCTTATGTGAATGGTCGGTATTCCAGACCAGTGAGTGTCTGAAATGGAAAATAAGTTGTGGAGCCAAAGGTGTCACTCTGAAGAATAGTGCTTAGCAGCTGCACTATTTGTAAATTCCTTTAATGAAGCACATTTGCACGTCTCTGACATCACTCCTTTCTCTCTTCTCTTTGTTACTCTAATCAGTCTAACTGCTGTCCATTTTTCTTTCTCAGGATCTGCTGATGGTGACCTACTTGGCAAACCTCACGCAGTCACAGATTGCTCTCAATGAAAAACTTCTGAGCTTATAAGGAGCTCCCTGCCTTGTCACACCTGAGAGCCTGAAGACACAGCAGAGCTACTCTCCCAGCATTCTGTTTTGCTATTGAATTCAGTTGGACCATAATGTATCTGCCTAAATGACTCAGTATCCCCCAGTATTCCTCTGATTCACATTCTGCCCTGTGGTTCAGACATTGAATCAAATTGGGTGTGAGCCCATTGCTAAAAATAGAGTCGATGGCTCCTCTTCAGTGCTTATGAACTACTGTCCCAGACTGACCATGTATTTAACAAACCAACTCCATTGTATTGTGAGGATTGCTGAGTCTAAATAAAATTTCTTTTCCACTTGTAAGAGCGACTTTTTATATGTAGGTGTCTCTTCTGTCTCACTATGTAGTGATAGTGTCTTTTCAAAATATTCATTTCGGGAGATGAAATTAGAGCTCACGGGAGCGAGCCAAGTTCTATAGTATGCCTCTGGGGTCAGTCACTCTACTTGCCTTCAAGTATGCCTTGAAGTAGCTTCATGGTTACCAGAAGGCAGTTGGACAAGAAAAATTCTCTTCATTCAGGTCTTCAGAATGTTCATAGTGCCTGGGAGCCCTCATCCTGGTCCAAGGTTCCATTATGCTAGATGCTGGTCACTGTTTCTGTACAGTAGCTTTTGCCTGGCACCAGAATCTGAGCAGGAGCAGTACAGTCAGCTGAGAGTCACCTATATGTTGAATCATTTGTGGAAGAACACAGAGTTGTAGAACACAGTATGCAGAAACAAAGTAGAAGTTGGTTATTGAAGTGAGGTGAAAAGTGAGGTTGGTAACTGACCTCACACTTGAAGTCAGACTTGTCATTGAGCAGATGTATCTGCTAGAGTAACTTCCTTGCCTGGTCATTTGTAAATATTAGCACACCAGAGGATTCAAAGAAGAGAGCCTGAGAGGCTCCTGCCAGACAGCACAAATAATTATAACTTCCATATTTTTGTCTTTGTACTGTGATTCACAGCTGAATGTTAAAGCTAGTATTGCACTGGCTCCATCTGTTAATTTCTCAGATACATATTTTGAAATGAGATGCACAATTCAAATCTGGCTCTTAATGGTGGCCTGTAAAGAATGTTTTTAAAAAACTGGTTGTGTCCTCTCTGCTTCTGTATATCTGACAAAGGCCTGTAGACACTCATAGCTTTGGTAGAGGTTTGCTGAGATCTCCAGGAGGTTTATTGTGCTTTCTGGCATCTTAATTTAAAGCTCAAAATGGATGAATATTGACTTTACATTAAAGGTTTCCTTTTTCCAGTGTGTTTAGTCACTAGAGTTAAATGTTAAACATGGCTTTGTTTAAACAAGTTTGAACGAACAAAAATTCATTTTCCCTCTTAATTCTTCAATTTACAGTCTTTCAACTCTTCTGATGTTGCTATTTTATTAGTTCTCCAAGCAAAATAGTCTTGCAAGTTGGCCTTAATTGTTTCCTTTTGCAGTTCACTGTGCTATATGACAATGGTGAAATAAGCTTGATTTCCCCCAATAACACTTTATGGGTTGAAATTATGAAACTGTATTGGTTTCAGTTAACAGAGTGCCATCGACAGACTACATTAAAGTACAAAGTTCTCAAAATGAAAAGGGAAGTTGTGTGTTACACTGTTTAAGATAACAGTATACAAAGAAGCATGTCAACATTTTGAAATGGTAATAGACACCTTTAAATTGGATGTAGGATTGACTAATTACATGATAAAAACAACCACCTTTATATCCCATATTATATAATGTGGAGTGGGAGGAGATCTTCATCAATGTGGAGCAGCAATGCTGAGTAGAGTTCCCAGATAAGAGATCCCAGGTAATGAATAGGGTCAGCTGGATGCACCATAGCATGCGTACGGAGCCATAGAATGTAGTGCCATATCATTTAGTGGAAATGAAAATTTAAATTTTTCAGCAATTCCATTTATGCTTTTATCCATGCAGGGTTTTTTTTTAGGTTACTGGGTATCCTTTTAGGAAAAGCTCTGCTTCTTGGGTTTTCTAGTGATGGATTTTCTGTCCCTATTTTCTAACCAGTTTCAGAATGGCAGCTTTTGTGTGGTAGTGTGCTTTCTGTTCAAATAAAGCCATGTATTACCGCAATATCCATTTAGACGGTTGTCGTCTTTGCTATGCATCTCGGAAGAAAATTTACACAACTTCTAGGAAGCAGAGAAGAGGTGATATCTCTTGCAGAGTTTGTAAAGTGTCCAGACAGTTGAAATTTCTTTTAACAAAACTTAAGATTCTTACTGTATTGTCAAGGAAATGGAATGTGTATGTTAAATGAGGTGGAGATAAGTTCACTCAATATTTTAAATACCTCATTCCTACAATGTCTTACCTTTCACTCCCTGATTTTTGGAGTGCTTCACTTAATCTTTGTTATTTAACTTCAATACGTAGCTTTCAGCAGACTTCTACTATAATGATTCAGAGAAAGAGGCAGTTAAAGGAGATCAACCGGCTAGAGAAAATTGGTTCATTATACTTGTAGTATGTCCAAGAATGACATCTCAATATGTACTTAAATAATTTTAGTGGATCCTGTGCATACATAGTAATGCAGAGTACTAGAGGATGCTACTATACAAATAGCTAAAGCTGCAAAATCTTACTATATATTTTAGAAATATCTATCTGGCTGAGAGTCAGTTTGTTCAAGAACTTCTCCTAAACAATAAGAGCTAGGACCACCAAATCTGATGTGCAACTTCCTCTTATCATAACTTAAAGCAAGGTCAGGGTTTGCTTGTGCCAGGATAGTGGGATGTGCATAGAAGGTAATTGTTTTGTATCAAACTGAAAGGGAGGATTGGGATAGTAGGGACTGTTATACTCATGCATGACTACAGAGGGCAGCAAGGGGAGCATCAGTGAGCAGCCTGAACAGCCTCCAGGCCACACAGTGTCAGGGAGAAACTGACAGTCACTCCCATCCCCTGCCTTGAGTCCCCTGTTCCTCCACTCTGAGTCCCTTATTCCTCTCCAACCCTGACTCTTGCACCCTCCACATCTCCTGTCTCCTGCCCTGAGCATCCCACATCCCCAACCCTCTGTCTTTACTCATGCATCTCCCACACTGCCAGCTCCCTGACCTGAAGGACCTGAGCAATGCTGGGTAAGTCTTTTAGTACAGCATAAATGAGGCTCAGGATGTGATCATGAGTCAGCCATGTTACCGTACATGCAGGAACAGACTGGTGCATTTACAAAGGAGACTAAAAAATTGTTTGTTTTTGCTTTTATTTTCATTAGAATATGTTGAAGGCCTGATAAGCATTCTCCCTCGCTGTGATATGGTCCTCATGGTGAAACTTAGACAGTGAGACTGCTAAGCCTTTCAAACCATTGACTTGGGCGGCCCCTCATCAGTTGTTAGCTGCATGTGGTATTCTCTCTAGGTACTGCACTAGCTCTGGCAGCTAACTTGGGGCCCGCTAGTAGGTTCCAATCAAACTGCCCAAGAGCAGCACAGACTCATTTCAAGAGTGAAGATACTTAAGCCCGGTTGGTTGCTGAAGCATAGTCCTAATATCCTGGGATACGTCTAGACTACAGGCTTTGTCGACAAAACTGTCAACAAAGCGCCTCTAGACTACATCAAGTTCTGTCGACAAAGCAAGCTGCTTTTTTTGACATGAGAGTGTAGACGCAATAATGCCTTCTGTCGACAAAAGGTGTTATTCCTTATAGAATGAGGTTTACCACCGTCAACAAAACTGCTGAGTTCTGTCGATATAATGTTGACAGAACTCGGCGCTAGTGAAGATGCAGGTATAGTTTTGTCAACAAAAGTCCACTTCTGTCGACAAAACCCTGTAGTCCAGACACCCCTGTAGACCACAAGTGGCAAGCAAGCTGATTTTTACTAGCAGGTGGGGTGGGAGCTCAGCCTTGCTCCCCCCACCCTCTGTGCAGCACCAGCTCTGGCTTCCTTCTGTGGGGTACAGGGAGGTGGGATACGCGTGTATCCCTAGCTCTGCCTCCTGCTTCAGGAGGGGAGTGGGGGGCCTCCTCTGTAGAGCTGGGCCTGCGCTGCTCCCTGTAGGATGTCTGTGGGGATGGGGAGCCCCTTCCCTAGCAGTCCACTGCACTCGACTGGGCTGGAGCCAGCTCTGGGCAGCCCCAGGCTCCATCTGCCACGGAGATACAGGCAAAGGGCTGGGCTGAGCAGAGAAGAGACTATCCCCCACCACCTCTCCTTGCCCAGCGCTGCTGCCTCTAGTGAGTGCACTGGGGGCACAGGGATGGGGAGGGGTGAAGGAGGATGTGGGGGCAGAACGGGAGGGGGCAGGGGTTGCATTGAGGGGCATGGGGCAATGCAGGGGATCAGGCTGGGGGGGATCATGGGCTGAGGGGAGCAAGGCTGGAGCACAGGGAAGATGGGGGGGGGGGATTTACATTTTTACTTTGGAGAAGCTGCATTTTCCTTTACTCCCCATTTTGCCTTCCTTCCCAGCTAGCAATTTGGCTGCATTCTCACCCTCTCATCTTTTCTGGGGAGAGTGGGGGGGGGGATTTACATTTTTACTTTGGAGAAGCTGCATTTTCCTTTACTCCCCATTTTGCCTTCCTTCCCAGCTAGCAATTTGGCTGCATTCTCACCCTCTCATCTTTTCTGCATTACTCCCCCAACCCCCTCTCGCCCTCAAATTCCCCCTCGTACTCCTTTCCAGACTGCTCTCCTCACCACATCCTAGACCCCCACCTCCTGCCCAGATCCTGCAGCCCTATCCCACTCGCTGGCAACCCTGTCTTGCACACTGAGCCCCTCATTTTTGTTCCCACCACAGACCCTAAGGGGGGCCACAAAATCCACCAACTCTGGAACCCCAGAAAAGTAAATCTGGCCTATGGGAAGCCCTGAACCTCAGTTCCTCCCTTCCCCTCACCCTGTGGGGGCTGGACTGTCAGAGTCTTTGTTGCAGGCCACATCAGTGAGGGTAGGGGGTTTTGAGAGGAGTTTTTTTGCTTCTGAGTTGTGTGGTCCCCAACTGATCTTTCTGTGGGTCAGTGACCCCTGCCATTAATAAAGAAAACATTGAAACCTTTTGTAAGATATAATTTATTTAAATTAAAGTTTGATAAACTAACATGAGAGAGTTAAAACACTTAATCTGTTTAATAGTTTAAATTAAATTGTTCTCCCTAACTGCAGCACTTGCAAAATGGCTTGGGCATAATTATGTAATTAACAGTGAATTTCCATTAGAAATAGATGGTCCACAGAAAGGTTTGCATTGACCCAGGTGGTCCACGGAGTGTGTGGTGGAGAAAGCCCCTCTTCTCCCTCCACCCCACTCCCCCGAGAGGCCCAGGGCAGGAGAATTAAATCTTGGCATGCCACTTTGGAAAGTGCTGTAGAGACTACAGAATCAATCGTACGTGTTCCCCCATTACGATGGACCAGCTCAGTCAATAGTAGGATTTTCCCTTTTGCTGGACAGACACATCCCCTCTGAGACCCCCTCTTTATACACTCATACAAACAAATTCTGTATTGCCCCTCTGAAGTGGTTGGTTACCAGCTTTTACCTTGTACATGTTTGATCAAAACATCCTATTAGCCTGACCTGCTCTTTGAGTGGTCAGTGTGTCCTTATCTTCTTTGAGGAATATATTCCCATTGATATGGTCCTAGGATGCTCTGGCATGTGTTTACATGAATACTTAATCCTTAGGTGTGTTTGTGTCAATGCCAATCTTGTTCTTGCTGAGTTCATGTATTGGACAGTGAACCTGCAGGCATTGGCTTTGTAAAAGCCCAGGGCTTGACTTTAATTTGGGTGCTAGACCTTCCATCAGAGCCCACTGATCTCAGGCTCTTTCTACTACACTGTTCTCACTGTGATGCCGATGTCAAGCCACAAACAGACAAACAAGCCCTGCTCCTAACTGAAAATAAGCATGGCCATACTGGGTCAGACCAAAGATCCAGCTTGCCCAGTATCCTGTCTTCTGATGATGGACAATGCCAGGTGCCCTAGAGGGAATGAACGTAACAAGTAATCATCAAGTGATCTAGTCCCTGTTGCTTTATTCTCGGCTTCTGGCAGAGGCTAGGGATGCCATCTTGGCTCACAGCCATTGATGGGCCTATCCTCCATTAACTTACTTAATTCTTTTTTTGAATCCTGTTAGTCTTGGCTTTCACAAGCTCTTCTGACAGAGTTCCACAGATTGACTGCATTGTGCAAAGACATTTTCTTTTGTTTTAAACTTGCGTAGTTCATTTGGTGACCCCTAGTTCTTACATTGCTTTTCTGTACTCTGTTCTACTGTAGTTCTTTGAGTTCTTTGGTACAGTTGGTTAGCATAATCAAGAGGTGTTCCATATTTGCATGGCATATTGCATCAGATTTTTTGCACGAGCACTATGAAGTGGCCTAATGCTACATTGTTCAGAGCAATTATAGTGTTGATGACCACTCATGTGGGAGTAGAGTAAGAAATTATGGAAAAATTTGCACTGTGCTACTTCAAGATGTGTGTGCTTAAGCAAAGTAAAAATAGAGGCTCATGTTAAAACTTGCCTGTCTAGATGACTGTATTTCAAGAGGTGTGACCAATTACAAAATCAGGCAAATAGCTGCACTGACATGTCACACTTTTTGCTGCCATAAGCTTGAGCTATGTCTTGACATGCTCATGCCAAAATAACACAGCAGAATCAGACCTGCTCCATGCATTGTGGTGATTGCAGGCAGAGTAAGCTTTTTAGCGTGGCTTCACCTAGCAGAGCCAGAGAAATAATGGATGCAGTCCACCTACAAATCCTTTAGTTGAAGTTTGCTGCTCACTAGTGTTGTGGGAGGGATTTCTAACCAGATGATTCAGTGGGGAGTGGCCCTTCCTCTGCCACTAAACAAACACAATATTCTTTCTACTTATCAGCTGAACAGAACTGGCTTCTTGCACACATGGCTGGGTAAGTCAGTTTAGCCAAGCTTCACTACTGTTGCTGCATTGTAATTACTGTGGTCACAAGATGGTGCAGAAGTTTTGATAGTAGATATTTTAGACTCACTTCAGTGACACATGCTGCTGGCTTTTTGTACTTTAATCTGTTGGTGCAAAGATCACCAGAACCGTTGCTGATACAAAGTGGGGGAGAGTGACTGATAGCAGTTGACTGAAATTTAATATATTAAAACCAGGACAATTGCTGCCTCATCACTTACATTTTGTATTGCACTTTGGGAGGCAATGGTGTCTAAGGGCTAGTGCATAAGACTTGCAGCCAGGAATCCTAGGGTCTGTTCCTAGATTTGCTATTGACTTGCTGGGCAGCCTTTGCGTAAGCTCTGTGCTTTTGGTTTCCCAGCTCCCCCAAACAAACTGGCATATTCACCTTTTGTAAAATACCTTTAGAATTTCAGAGGATGAGTACTACAAAAACACAAGTTATCTAGGTCTGTACATGCAGCCCTCAATTCTATTGTGCCTCCTGTAGATGTTGGGGGAATGCCACTACTCCAATGTGTGTGGGGAGGCTATTGAAATAAGATAATTTTGCTTTGTGTGCTGCTGACAATTTGGGGAGAAGGGTTCTCTTTCAGAAGTAGGAAGTCAAAAAGATGGTGAGTAAATATACTCCCCAATGAAGGTGAATTTGTTCTTACATGCTTGTTAGCATCTGCTGACTCTCTCTAGGTACACTATGTACTCAAGACATTGACTATTGTTTTCTACAAAGTAGCTGCTGTTTGCTAGGTAAACTCATTTTTTTCCACAGAGGGGTGGAAGGAGGGTTTCTATCCAGTCCAGTATCTTTCCTCTCCTTGTGTCCTCCCCATGTGATCCAGAGGGAGGTGTAAAATCCTGCCATTAGGTAGATGTGAGATAATTTGCTTCTTCCATTGTTGTCATTCTCTAATAGCTAGAGACTAACTTGTAGCCTTTGCCCTCCTGCACCAGCCTAGCACCCACACCCAATGGTTCCAGAGTCTGTACCCCCTCCTGCACCTACATTCCCCCAAAGCCTGCATCTCCTCTCACATCCCCCAACTCCTCCCAGAGTCTGCACCTCCTTCTGCACTCCAGCTCCTTGCCCTAGCCTCAGCCCAGAGCCCCTCACATCCAAATGCCTTGCCAAAGAGCCTGTATCTCCCTGTACCCTAACTCCCTGCTCCAGTGCTGAGCCTTCTCCACCTAAAATCTCTTAAAGCTTGTGTCCCTGCCCCAGCCTGGAAAGGGGAGGAGAGGGAGTGACTGAGGGAGGGAGATGGATGGGGTGGGACAGGGGTCATTGGGTTTGTGAGATTAGCCAGTATGGAAGTTCTGGCCATGTTGGATGAGCTCACCCAGCAGTGATGTTGCAGCACTGCCTAAGTGTCAGGCAGACTGCATCTGGCATTGCCTGTGTGTCTTACAGACAATTCTGCCCTGAGGCCTGATGACCAGAGAAAAATCAGTCAGGGGCCATACACAAGTGATAATCTCTCCTACCCACCCCAACTCAAGCCCTCACCAACTCACCTCCTTCCTGAGGAGAAAGACACTCCCCCCAGCCGAGCCCCAGGCTAATACATGGTGTGCTCCAGCCTTGTGCGGGGCAGCAGGGAGGCTGGCGGGGCAGCCTGGCTCAGCCCTGCGCCTCGGGCTGGATCCCGACAAGCGGGGCCGAGGTTTCCCGCCCTGGCACAGATGGGATGCGCCGCTGATGAGGTGCTCCTAGAATTCCGTTGGCGGGTTGCTGCCCGTTAAGCGAGCTGTGCTGCAGCAGCCGGGCTGAGGAGAAGCCTCGCGCGTCGGCAAAGCGCCGCAGGCCGGGGACGCTCAGTCACAAGGGACGTGTCGAGACGGGGCGGCGATTCGCAGCCCCCGGCTGGTCACTGCTAAGACAGGCCCAGGGGCCGCCCTGTGCCCGGCCCCGCGCTCCCGGGGACTCGCACCAGACGCTGG